ATAGTGAAAACTACTATAAATGTCCATTTTCTGCAGAAAAAAACTTATATAGATACAGGTTTCTATGTAACAGACTATTATACAAAGATTTTTCAATATAATAAACCTTATAAGGTCAATTTCTAAAGAAAAAGTTAAATTGAGCCGACAATTTAGCCGCCGCCGCCGACCCAAAATGGTTGCGCCGCCGCCGCCGATCATTTCCCATCGGCTTGTATCTCAGGTATGTGATTGCCATATCATATGCAGATACGAAAATCTCACTGCTTCCTTTTCGATTACATTTGGTTTGAGCAATCGACCTATTAATTGTTGATGATCTAATTAGATCTCTAACGAAAACATCACTTGAAGAAATGGGGATCATTTGTAGTGGTCAGTCTATGAACCACGAGACAATTATCAAAGATGGAAGATCATTTCAGAAAGTGAGTTTCTTTTCCTCGCACAATGATCTCTTTAGTGGATTGATCACACATAGAGCTTTGAGGCGATCGAATCCAGATGTTCTAGAATGCGACTGCTAAAATTTGTTATACTATCGTAAATAAAAACGGCTCCTAGTATATTGGAATAAATCGGCCACTAGATAGCTGATAATTAACGACATTCTAAACCATCTGATAACTTTAAAATCTATTCATAGCAGGCTAATATTTGGGATATATTGATCCCTCAGTGCATATTACCTTTATGATCTTCCCCATCTTGGAGTTATTGCAATACGGCGGCAAAGAGGTGCTAGCAATGCCTCTTGTCTGCCGGGACAATAAACTGGTGGTGTCAAATGTATACTATATTTGTTCTTTATCTGCAATGATCCGTGGTCTAAACGTGGAACCTTATAATCAGAGAGAGCCCATAGGACGAGTTTCGCACATTGTCTTGTCCTGGTTATTGGAGAGGCAACTTCGGGGTGAACGTGAAGCGATGTATGCTAAAAAACTGATTCGCGGTGAAATCTATTTATCGGTATGAGTTCGGTGCTGTTGCCGAAAAGACAACAAGTACCTCTCAGAATTTGAAATGGGTTGGTGTCAAATGAATATGATACGAAATGGTTGAAGGGATATACAGGCCTCCCGCCACATGTTGTTAATTCTGTTCATACCAGACTTATCACAGTTTGCTCTTTCTTGTTAATTCTGTTCATACCAAACTTATCACAGTTTGCTCTTTGTGCGTTAGAACTTATCGTCTTATGTCATGGATTAGGATTTCGGTCTATCAATTGATACTCTAGATGCTGCGTGTTCGTAAACGTAAGTGATACATTTCGAAGGGTACAGCAAGGGGACAGCGATGGTCAGATAATATATGGCTTAAGGTTTGGAGCAAAGTGCTCGTACATAAACCGGCGGAATCTTGTACAAAAATCTCCACCTGCGTGTTCCTTCTGTTTCACTATAAAGAACTAAAGAATTCCATACTCTTAAGAAGTGTCAACATAGACCGGCGAAATCATGTACAAAAATTGTCACCTGCGTGTTCCATTGGTTTCAGTAGAAAGGGCTAAGGATTCCAAATTATGGGAGAAGTGTCAATGTGTTGATTTTTACAAATTTGAAGACATTTCACACTGAAGCTTCAACATATCAAGAGCATTTTCGATTGGTTATGAATAATGATTCATCGGTAAGTGAGAAGATCTAACGAATGTATGTTTTTGCATATCGGAAGCTACTCAAGGGCGCAGCGATGGTCATAGAATAGATTATCTGTGTGTTCTTTAGGTTTCACAAGAAATTATAAGATAAATGACAACATGGACCGGCAAAATCATGTACAAAAATTGATACCTGCGTGTTCCTTTGGTTTCGCAAGAAAGAGCTAAGGATTTCCAATTATGTGAGAAGTGGGAAGAGGATGTTTTTTTAACTCCGAACAAATTTCGCACTTATACTTCAACTTATCAAGAGCATTTTCAATTGGTAATGGATAATGCGAGATCGGTCCGTGAGAATATCAAGAAGTCACTTATGAATTTAACAAATCAGATAACGTGGTAGAGTAAAGAAAAATACTTTAGCCAGAAAGTGTTAGAATATTGAATAGAAAGTGTTATTCTTGTGGTTATCTATAAAAGATCATGCAAAATGATCGCAGAGATCTTCGGAACAAATACCAGAAGACCGTGGAAGAATTTTAGCAATAATCATTTGGGCATTTCTTTAAATGAACATAAGTCTATTAGGAGTAACAAAAGTTCTAAACTTCTGCTAGAAACAAGCGCTTGCTATGAGTTTTAACCTATTTTGTTTAGTATACATTCCGAAACCTGGAGATAATGTTCAGACATTAAAAAAATTAACTATATTATTTCGAAGTTTCGCTTAAATAGTACAGATCTGTGGATGCTCAATTCAACGAATCAAGGAAGTTACCGGTAAGATGGAACTCGCAATATCAGATCGGCAAAGTTTTCCTAAGTGGATTTGGATCGAAACATAGTTTTACCAAATTGACACCAACTCCTGAACCCAATTAACAGCGAATTTCCCAATATCCCTTTGTACGTTATCCTTCCCTTTAAAGTTAAGTTACTTTTTTGCGTTTGTTGTAAGAAGAGAGTGAAGCAGAGCAGAGCCTATATAACGACCCAAGAAATAGAAGGATGTAAAAGTTTAGATTTCTTTTTAGAAAACAACAACAATAATAATAATAAAAAACCTGCTAGAGAATAAATGAAGGTATTTTGTTGTTGTTTTTTATGTTTATTTGTAGAATGTGTTTTTTTTTTCAACATTTATTTGGTTGTTTTTTCTCAGTGTGTGTTATGCTTAGTTAGTTAAGTAGAGCATTTAGATTGACAAAGCACGAAGAAGAAGTAGTAGTAGCAGCAGCAGCAATAACAGCAACAAAAAACTAAATTGAGAGGTATGTATGTATGTAGAAAGAAGAAAGAAAAGAATACAGGCATGTAATGACATGCCTATGTTTGTTCTAAAAAAGCAACAGTTGTTGTTGCTGTAACTAGCAGTGATGCCAAGTGATGCGTAGAGAAAATTTTAGAGTTCTAAAGTTTGTTTAACGAAATTTAAGGAATTTGGAACAGCAAGAGGTAGCCAAACATAGAGTAAGTTGGTAATTGCAATAAATTTGCGCATCAGTGATGTAACTATAGGCAAATTTTTGCATCTAATGAGCAAACTTTTCCAACTTTTGCATTAAAAAAGTATAAAATGCATACTTTTCCGGCATTACTAAGAACAATTTATATTTAACCATTTTGTTTGATTGTTTAACAAATTTCAAGGAATTTTGAACTGCAAGTAGTAGGCCGTAAGTTACTTTTTAACGAACATGAAGAATGTTGGTAAATACAACAAATTTAAAATATTTTGAACTCGAAGAGGTTGTCTATAAGTTATTTATAAGCAACATAGTGTAAGTAGTTATAAGGAACATAGTGTAAGTTTGCGCATCACTTATGCATCTAATGAGCAAACTTTTGCAACTTTTGCAATAAAAAGATATAAAATGCATATATGTTTGGCATTATATTACATACAATTTATATTTAACTATTATGTTTGAATGTTTAACGAAGTTTAAGGAATTTTGAACTGCAAGTAGTAGGCTGTAAATTATTTTAACGAACATGGATTAAGAGGGTAAATACAACAAATTTAAGATATTTTGAACTGGAAGAGGTAGTCTATAAGTTATTTATGAGGAACATAGTGTAAGTTAGTAAGTTTGCGCATCACTTATGCATTTAATGAGCAAACTTTTGCATCTAATGAGCAAACTTTTGCAACTTTTGCAATAAACAGATATAGAAGTTGCATACATTTTCGCCATTATTAGCAACAATTTATATTTAACCATTTTGTTTGATTGTTTAACAAAGTTCAAAGAATTTTGAACTGCAATTAGTAGGCCGTAAGTTATTTTTTAACGAACATGAAGAAAGTTGGTAAATACAACAAATTTAAAATATTTTGAACTCGAAGAGGTTGTCTATAAGTTATTTATAAGGAACATAGTGTAAGTTAGTAAGTTTGCGCATCACTTATGCATCTAATGAGCAAGCTTTTGCATCTAATGAGCAAACTTTTGCAACTTTTGCAATAAAAAGATATAGAATGCATATATGTTCGGCATTATATTACATACAATTTATATTTAACTATTATGTTTGATTGTTTAACGAAGTTTAAGGAATTTTGAACTGCAAGTAGTAGGCTGTAAATTATTTTACGAACATGAATTAAGTTGGTAAATACAACAAATTTAAGATATTTTGAACTAAAAGAGGTAGTCTATAAGTTATTTATAAGGAACATAGTGTAAGTTAGTAAGTTTGCGCATCACTTATGCATCTAATGAGCAAACTTTTGCATCTAATGAGCAAACTTTTGCAACTTTTGCAATAAACAGATATAGAAGTTACATACATTTTCGCCATTACTAACAACAATTTATATTTAACGATTTTGTTTGATTGTTTAACAAAGTTCATGGAATTTTGAACTGCAAATGATAGACCGTAAGTTATTTTTTAACGAGCACGAAGAAAGTTGGTAAATACAACAAATTTAAAATATTTTGAACTAAAAGAGGTTGTCTATAAGTTATTTATAAGGAATATAGTGTTAGTTAGTAAGTTTGCGCATCACTTATGCATCTAATGAGCAAACTTTTGCAACTTTTGCAAAAATAAGATATGTTAGTTGCATACTTGCCCAGCATCACTAACAACAATTTATATTAAACTATTTTGTAGTAAAACAATTATAACAAATAAGATAATTTAATGCAAAACATTGCTAATAATGCAGTACTGCATTTCCAAATGCATCCATTAATTTAAATTAAATTTATCTAAAATTTAATTTTATTTAAATTTAAAGCACTAAATTAGCCTTACTGCTAATACTAGAGCTACTACGGATTTTGTTGCACAATAATAAAGACTTAAAATTAGATTTGCGCAAAAATATGCAATAAAACGAAAAATAAAAATTTACAATGAATATAAAAGAAAATTTGCTTACAATTTACCATTAAAATGTAGAAGATGTGTAGAGAAGAAAAACGTTGAAAAAAAGTCGCCAAAACTTAAATAGAGGAGGAATTTTTAATCCTGTTGATGGTTAAGTAATGATTTTGATGCCTCTGGATGGTTGAAGTAATATTTGTTTGCCTCGTTTTAAGGGGGTAGGGGGCGGGGTGGCAGTGATGAAGAATAGTAATACTTTTTTTTTAAATTTGCATTGACTTTAAAGGAGCACAGGATTTGTCACTTAAAGTTTTTTTTTATATTCAATTTTATTTATTGAATGAAATGGCGAAAAAAGAACGTATTTTTTAAAAATGCTTAACACGTCTAAAACCTTTAATTTTTTGCCGTTTTTTATTTTTAATTTGTTAACTTTTTTTGTTTTATGTGATTATTTTTTTTATTATTTTTATTATATTTTTATTACTTTTTAAGCTTAAATATCTTTATTTTCAATTTATTTGGGATTGGGGAAAAAAACGCACTCGATGATGTTGATGATGATGTTGTTGTTGTTGTTTTGGGATTTTATATGTGAGTGTGTGGATTTATATAAATTTTTTATTTTATTTATTTACTTTTTTATAATTTTGTTGTTGCTTTATTTGTATATATTTTGTATTAATACTTTTACACTTGCTTTGTTGTTGTTGTTGTATTTATTTTAGAATTGTATGCGAGAATGGATGAGTTGGATGCAAATCAGCATTAAATGTGGAGTCCATTCAACTTCACTTTTTTTTTGTATAATTTTTTTATTTTGTAATTCTGCTGTTTCTTTTATTTTCTTAGCAGTTTGCAATTTAAATTTGTTGTCAAACATAAAAAAAATTCTAGTTAAAACTCTCTAAAAGAGCCCCAACACTTTTTATATCCCTTTAAAAAACCAAAAAAAGTACGTTACTTTTTTCAAATTAAAAATATCTCAAACAACTTAAAAAATTCTTTATAAATAAATCTTTTTCTTTATAAATTTTTTTTAACAACTTTTCTTATTACTTTTCGTTTATTTTACTTAATAACAATAAAAATAAAATTTTGCTAATGAAAAAAAAAAAATATGTTATAGAAATTTTGTAAATTTTTCAAAATTTTTTTTTTGTTTGTTTTCGAACCGTTGCGGCCGTTTTCAATGAATGGCAAACGTTAACTGCGAAAGCCGACAAATTCGTTTGCAGATACACAACAAACAATATTTAAAGCTCACACACAAACGCAAACATATATAGAGAAATCTGTAAAATACCCAATGCTCTTTTACGAAGCTATTAACGAAAGCAAAACTCAAAAGAAACTAACTAAAGCATACGCTCACTCACTCACTCGTACTCTCGTCTACCCAAAGACTTGTAATGTCTAACAACAACAAAATCATAATATAAACAAAAAAAAAATAATGCACCTCAAAGTAACAGCTCCTCTAGGCCCCCCAAAAATTGCTCCCATTTACGAGAGCAAACCAGAGAGTGCTCTCCCCCCTTAAACGGGCTGTTGTTTAACGCTGTAACCCGAGAGAGCACCAACAAATGCTCAGCAAATCTCTTTTTCTGGCTTTACTCAAGCACCGTGATATTATGAGAAAAGAGCTTTAAAAAAAATTACAATAGAATTTAAGAAAATTTAACAAAAACAGAGAGTCCATATTTTTCTTAACGAGTTTCTTTTTTGGTTTCCTCCAAACTAAAAATGGCACGTGCAGAGTACCAGCAGCAGCAGCAACAACAAGTTACAGCATCAAAGCTGTAGTTGTAGCAGCAGCAACAGCAAATTATGCACAAAGCAGGAAGAAGTGGAAAAAATAACAAGAAAAAAGAAATTGCATAAAGAAAAAGTTAAAAGACTGAAAAAATAACAAAATAAGAGGAAGATGTTGTAAACGAGAGTAGTCGGAAAAGGGTCTTTAAAACCGCAGGGGTTTTAATAGTTCTTTAGAGTAAAGAATCTCAATTGGAACTAGTTACTTAACTGGTTCTTTGAATGTATTATCGTCCAATGTCCAGAAACTCAATTTCAGTGTTCGTGAGTGATGTTATATCCGGAATAATATCATTCCCAAAACATTTGGATCTAATTTCGACGAAAGCCTGACAATGACAAATAAAGTGCTTCGGAGTTTCACTATCCTCTTCACAAGCACTACATTCATCTGAATTCACACTTCTAATTTTGTATAACTCTGCCCGTAATCCTGTGTATCCACTCAGAATACGTATCATAATACTAACCTCTGACTCGATCATTTTGAGGAGGCTTCTTGTCCTGATCTCGTTGGGGTCACCCTATAGGCCAAGAGGACTTAGATTCTCTAACCCATATTACTAATTCAGCCTTAGTTGAGTCGAAAGGTTTTGTGTTCGTCGGGCTACCTCGAGATTCCTTCCCCTTTAAATCTACTATATTCGCTCTTTTGTTGCCGACAACTCCCGAAAAGCTAAAGTGGCCTGGTAGTTTTAGCTTTCTTACAATCTAATACGGTCTTTATCACCTGATATCACCCTAATAGCCTTCTGACTGTCGGTAAATTTGTTGGCGCCAATTTACGCATTTCGTTATTGCTTGGACTTCTGTCTGGAAGTTAGTATTGTGATTCGGGAAACGGTGGAATATTTATATTTCTGGGTCTTTAATATAGAACCCGCTTTGTTCCCCAATTTAGAGTCATTCATGTAGCAATGGATTCCGGCGGGTATTTGCTCTAATGTTCCACTTGACTATGACATCCTAACTAAGATCAGTTTTTCGAAGTTCCCAACATATTCTGTGTCTGGTATGAGATCGATGATTGTTTTCCAATGTGTCCAGTACACATAGTAGACGTGTCCTATAACAGTCAGTTCGCCTAAAGTTCGGCTGTAAGTAACAGCCTCATATCTTATATATGTTTCAATCAGTTTCTAGAGTCCTGGTTAACGTAGGATTCATGGCAATACTTTTGCTCAATCAGCATGTACGCTGAACTCCCTGTAGTAGTTCGATATTTCACTTTTTGTCCATTTTGTGTTAATAAAGTATTTAAAAGCTATTTCAAAGAACCATCAAAGAGAGAAGGTGAGCGATGATCTATGAAGGCGCGATAAGATCGTTAGATATAAGTAACATTAGAGTGTTTAATAGGTAAAATATATGTATGGCTTGAGTATTTGTACCTTTGAAGATCAGCCTTGATTCAGAATATGATTTACAATAGAGTTAGAGCACTTGAAGGATCGATGCGATCTTTCGACACAAGGTATTTATACCCAACACCACTTTAGTGGGGAGGGTATATTGGGTTTGTGCTGATGTTTGTAGCGCACAATAATATGGGTTCTATACCCATCTTAAAGTATACCAATCGACTTAGAATCATTTTCTGTGTCGATTTAGCTATGTCCGTCCGCCTGACCGTCCGTCCATGCAAAACCTTGTAATCAAACTACAGGTCGCAATTTTGAAGAAAATTCAACGGAATTTGGTTCTATTGTAACAGAGACGATGCCTATTGAAAATGGTTATAATCGGTCCATTATTTCACTTAGCTCCCATACAACTGATCCCCACGAATAGGCTCTTAAGTTCATAATTATTTTTAATACACTCGTATCTTGTCAATAAGCTGCAAAATCAAGTTCTATACTAGCCTTGATGACCCTGATGAATTTTATAATGATAGGGTTTCATTTGACCTTAACCCCTATACAAAGCCCCCTTCAAAATATGACTTAAATGTCCACAATTTTATTCAACAATAAATGGCTTAAGTATATCTGAGGCAAGATACAATTCAACTTTAAAAACTTTATTATGAAAACTAAATCACATTTTACTTTTATAACTGGTTTAGGGTCGACCATCATCGCCCGACTATAATTTTTACTTGTTTTTAGGTATTTTTCTCCATGTAAGATCCAACGACTTTCATTATAGCTTCTCTGATTTAAACTGTTATCCATAACATTATAAAATTAAGACTGATCAATATGAAGTAGTCTTTGTCTTTAGTTTATTTGGAATTTGATCGCTTATGAACAGAGAAAGATGATCTACTTTGAAGGAGTACAGTCTAGTAATATAAGGTTCTCTAAATAGGAAAACTTATGATCGAACTAAGGTCGTTATTCTTCGAATGATCAGTGATCTTTGTGGACAATTTTGCTTGTTTAAATTTGAAGATCGGATTAGCTATGCGATCGTTCGATACTAGTGATCTTCATACTAGTGATGAAAACAGGTAATGAACTGAATGTATAGTCAATTCTAAATTTGATCGCTAATAGTGAAAGAATTTAGTTTGGAAGAAATATGCCTACCATTTTCAAAACCCCACCTTCTCATATTCTAAAAGACTTTTAACAACACTCTCGCTGTAATAGTAAACAACAACAACAAAAGCACCAAAAAAATGCTAAAAAGTTAAAAATATTTAAACACACATACAAACATTAATAAACAATTGAACCACTAAATACATACACACAGCAGTAACTAACACAATGGACAGTTGTATATAACAATCCTGTATGTATGTCTATAACGATTATGTAGCAATTTATGCTCCAAAGGAGTTTTACAACAATCATTTCTATATGTACATATGTATTCAATTTTTGCCTATTCCATAAATGTCAGCCGAGGGGTTACACGTTTAGGAGCGCGGGCGGGCGGGTAGATGTCAAGTACCATTTGAAATTATATAACTTTTTGTAAGTGTAAGCACGAGTATGTAATACATTTTATCTATCTCTCACTCTCTCCTGCTGCTGCTGCTGCTGGAATACATGACATTATTTTTTTTGGGCATGTCCATATACTGGATATTTTTTTGTAACAAAAAAAGCTCCTATCTCGATATTTTATTTCCGTGTTTTCTACTTTTTTGTTTTTGAGGCCAATAAAAGTAAAGTAGAATGTAAAAATCTCCTGCCAAATGTATGGTTTTGATTAAAGTGACAAATTTTTGTTGGACACGCTGCACAGTGGTATAGGAAAAAAAAAAGAGGGAAATAATTCGGTAACTTCTAAACGGTTAATCCGATTTTAATGAAATTTGGTGTGCACAAAGAGGAGGTGTTGTCGAGTTTAGGTTTTGAATTTGGACCTTATAGGCCAACCAGGGGCCCGGCGGGGGGTCATCAAATTAGGACACCTCGGCTATGTTAAATTTTTAAAACGATCCTATTTCTTCATTTGAGTTCCGATTTAAAAAAAATTTCGTTTATAGAATCTCCTCATCGAGCACTATAAAAAATGTTGTCATAGCAGTAAATTATCTCTTATAGTTTAGGAGATATTCGCATTTGAAAATTAAAATTTTAAAATTTTTACCGTCCTTACTTTAGTTTTTTTTGATAATAGCAGGTCCAAATATTCCCGATTTTCGCCATTTTTTTTTATTCGCTTAACAACAAGTTTATATATCAAGCAGTGAAAGAATTATGTAAAAATCATGACTGAGTCCAAAGTTATAGGCATTTTAATTTAAAAAATTAAAAAAAGGCGATTTTTTGTCATTTTTTTGGGAAAAAAGTATCTTTTTCTTTTTAAGTTATCTAAAAAGTTTTTAAGAAGATGTATATAGAATTTATACTTTTTGGAAAGCTGACTTTACATAAAGTACGATAAATGAAACAAAACCTAAAATTTTTTGATACCGAGGGGACCAGGTCCATCCAAAAAAACCCTATTTTTTATGGAAAATTAAATTTTGAGCAAAAATTCTCAAATCGCATAGTCGATATCAAATTATAGTGACCTGTTTTATATGACCCAATATGTTCTTAATCATTTTGTAACGGGTTTCGATAACCCCGCCCCTGGTATGGATATAATAGGCAAAAAACTAAAAAATCCCATTTTTGGGATTTTTTAAAACTTTTTTGGGAATTCCGGGATTTCTAATAAGAAAATTCGAAATTTTGATTTAATTTTGGATTTTAAGTAAAAAAATCTACCTAACTGTAAAATTTCATCAAAAAATATTCATAAATAAAATTTTTATTGCAATTAGAAAAATTTGTATCTTCGCAAAAACTGAATAAAAAACATTTTTTAATTTTTTTTAAAAAAAGTATTCCGCGAATTTTTTAATTTTCAAAAATTATATACAGTTTTGAAAAATAGACAAAATTACCTTTCCATTGATATATAACATGCCTACCTAATGTTTTTTAAGTGAC